AGAAGGGAGTTCCCCAGCCTGTAGGTATGCTGCTGGTTCTTCTTCCCCAGGTGCAGTACCTTGCACTTGTCAGTGTTGAAACCCATCCTGTTCTCATCTGCCCACCCCTGTAACCTGTCTAGGTCCGATTGCAGCCTATTCCTCCCTTCTAGCATGCCAGCTTCTCCCCACATCTTAGTGTCATCTGTGAATTTGAACACGGTGCTTTTTACCCCCTTGTCCAAGTCACTGATGAAGATGTTGAGCAATGCAGGCCCGAGGACAGAGCCCTGGGGAACCCCACTGCCCACATCCCTCCAGGTCAAATAAGACCTGCCCACCACCACTCTCTGGGTGTGGCCCTCCAGCCAACTAGTGACCCATTTCACTGTGTAGGTGTCGACGCCACAGTCTCCTAGATTTTTAATGAGAATGGTGTGAGAGACCGTGTCGAAGGCCTTCCTAAAATCCAGAAAGACTACATCCACTGCTATACCTGCATCTAAAGATTTTGTGACCTGGTCATAGAAGGCCACCAGGTTGGTCTGACAGCACGTGCCTCTAATGAACCCATGTTGATTGCCCCTAAGCATAATCTCCCCTGCTGGCCCCTCATGGACATGCGCCAGGATAATTCTTTCAAAAAGCTTACCCAGGATTGAGGTAAGACTGACTGGCCTATAGTTTCCTGGGTCTTCCTTCCTCCCCTTTTTGAAAATGGGAACCACATTGGCCCTTTTCCAGTCCTCTGGCACCTCGCCAGAGCACCATGAATGCTCATAAAGCTGTGCCAGGGGTCCCACAATGACCTCTGCTAATTCCCTCAGTACTCTGAGGTAGAAATCATCAGGACCTGCTGATTTGAACATGTCCAGTCCCTCCAGAAGTTCCCTGACTGGGTCCTCACTGACCATGGGCCTGGGTGCGCCTCCCCTCCTATGAGGGTCCCGATTGGGGGGCGGGGAGGAGGTGACCCGGTCCCTGCTCAGAAAAATGGAGGCAAAGAAATTGTTAAATACAGCTTTGCTGTCTGGTGCGACGACCAGATTTCCTAGCATATCCTGCAGAAGCCCCATGTTACCTCGTACCTTCTTTTTACCCACTATGTATTTAAAAAAGGACTTCTTGTTGTCCTTGATCTGGGTAGCTAGTCCCAGTTCCATCTCCACCTTGGCCTTCCTGACTGCCCCACTACAGCCCCAAGCAACGAAAGTAAAGTCCTCCCTGGTGATGGCCTCTCCCTGGTGATGGCCCCTCCCTTTCATTGGATGTACACCTCCTTTTTAGCTACAAATCCTTTAGATTTGTAGGAGTTATGCTTGAGAAGAGAAAAGGGCAACACATTTGGCTGCAAAATCCCCCTTTACTGGGTTGCTCTTTTTTCTGGTTGGATACACACTGCTCCAAGTACATGCCTATTGTACATGAGGTTTTTGTGGATGCAGTTAAAAATAACCAGAAAGATCAGTTTTAGGTAACATTTCAACAATGTGCTGCATTCCCTCAACAGCTGGGCAAAGAGGGATATTCACTGCATTAATACCTAAATGTGATTATCCCTAGTGTTCAGAATTCCACAACAACCCTTCCAGCTGCAGCTACATTTTCTGTGATGTGAATCTCTGGCATTTACCATGCTGAGATGCCACATTTGCTGCAGAATCCTACTGAAGTGTAGAATATGCAGGAGGCAGGGAAAGCAATTTGAAAGAACCACATTTTCCTTTATTTGTAGTTTCTTTTTCCATTAAATAATATAAAAAAGAACAGTGTGAAAAAGCAAAGTATATTTAAAAAATCCACAGAGTCTGACCCCCTGGACTCCAGCTTCATGCTTCAGCAAGGTTCCAGAGTAATTTTAGTATCTCAGCATGGAGCCTGCATGGAAGTCACTTCAAAGCAAAAACAGGCTGACAGCAGCTAGCATGTACGTCATAGCACCTGGAAGAACATAAAAAAGGAATAATATGTTGAATTTTCCTCTAAGCATTCCTATCAGCTTGACTGCTGGGTGGTTAGGTTTATTGCTTAAGTTTAGGGATGGGAAAACTCATTTTGACCAATTTGAAACTCAATCAACTTTTTAGGTTTAAAGGCTTGACCTGTACTTGGACCTCATTAGGTTTTGGTTCTGCTTTGGAGACAGAAATAGCTATTGGAAAGTTATACACATACCCTTCTACAAGGCACCTACTTGGGCCACCCAGGCTCTGGGGAGCTATTATATTGTACATTTCTATCATATCAGAAGTTTCCTGTTATACAATTTTGTGTAAAACCAACCCCAAATCTTGATTCCTTTTTTGCCTTGACATTTGAAATCTCAGTCTTTTTTAAACAGGGGGGCATTTGTTAAAGAAAACAAAGATAACAAACCAAAATGCTTGTATATAGGGTGAGCCCTAGCATTCTCCCCTGTATGCAAAGATAACACCTTACCTAGAATGCTAGGTAGCACACAGAGGCTTCTAGTGGCTAGTTAACATATAGCTGTCAAATACATCTTTGCACGATTGGTATGTAAATGAATTCCAAAAATAGAGATGTTTCCGTAACCTTATTCTTTATGGGGGTTCTCTGTATCCTCTTAATGTCACTGGAATTTAGTGTTCTGTCTTTGTAGAACAACTTTAATTTTTTGAGATATACTAACTTTATTTTGAGGAAGCTTAGGACAGTGTCAACTTGCCATTTTTTACTCCACTAGGTAGTATCAAATATGGAACCTGTCATAATGCAAAACTTATTTTTATTTTAAGATGATGTAAGATCATAACCCTTTAAATTTATTTCTAGGCATTAGAAGAGCCAACTAAGAAAGCAAGTGAGACTGAGCTCACCACTTTGGACACACATTCAGAGGTAACAATAATTCTCTCTATCTTTTTATCTGGAAACACTAAGGTTGGGCTAATCCTCATATTGCTTCTACTTTTCTAGATGTGCTCCCCTGCCCAGCTCAGGCAGCAAACTGAAGAACTCTACACAACCATTGATCAAGTCTTACAGGATCCATTGCCTATGGTAATATACCAGTCAACTGGTATTAGAACAGTCTTTCCCCACTCCTCCTCCTTCTGTTATTAATTAAGCCTGTGCACTTTTGAATCCCATTTTTCAGCGCCGGTGTGAATCTTCCCCAAGTTTCCTGCAGACACCCATGGATTCAGATACAGGCAAAGTAAGTGAGTAAGCTCAAACACATATTATATCCCCTATGCATGTGGCACAGAACAATGGTGAATCAAGCCATTGGCTTCTGGAGAGAAAGAGGGTGGCAGAAATAGGACAATTCTTAGAGAAAATTAGGGATTAAGGAAAGGTCATTCTATACCTTCTCTCTCCCCCCTCCCTTTCTTTACTGCAGCAGATATTTGAATATGCCTGTAGGTAGAAGTTTTAATTCTTCTGCCTATACCTTGCACAATTACTTACAGTTGAGTAAAGTAGATGTTAAATGTTGACGAGTAACTGTGAATGAATTTTCTGATAGGTAGAAAGTACTTATACCCACTTTGTACTGGTATAAATAATTAAACCAGATCCAAGGCAGTGGAAAAGTCTGTTCTGAACAAAAGAGGTCAGGTAAAGGAAACAGAGGCAATGGGAGAAGAAGACAATGTGGTTTGGACAGCAAGTTAAAGCATGGGATGGCAACCTTTAAGGGTGACATGCAACTGGGTTACCTTAGTCCTCTCTGCTCTGTGCTGAGGACTACTCTCTTGCTCTTGTGCCGTCCTACTAGAGCTTCTGCTTGCGCTTCACACTAAGTGCTGTCCATTGCCATTGCCAATGGTGATGTGATAAGCAGAAACTGCAGCGGGGCAAGGGAGCAGGAAAGGATTGACACTGGAGGGGACTGCTGGCACAAGACCAAAGAATGCATGCACAGGGCGGAGAAGGTGCTGTTGGGGCCATGTGCCAGCTCACATCTCTTTGCAGGCTGGGTGTGACCTGAGTTTAGGGATAGGATGTAGGCATTAGAATAAAGACTTTGGCTTTCAAGATTAAATTGGGAGGTGGGGGAGAAATAGTTGTAAATGAGAAGAAAATATACTTCTGTAAGAGCCTTAGAAATGCCATGGGCATAAGGACATGCAAAATGCCATTCACTGGGTCAGACCATAGGTCCATCTAGTCCAGTGTACTGTCCCACACAGTGGCAGTGTGTAGATGCTGAGAAGGAAGGTGAGCAGGGCATGTCTAGAATCTTCTACCCCTGCTCTTCTCCCAGTTGCAGCTTCCAGCATTCAGAGGTTTAGGAAGTTGAGACTCTGCATTCCTATCTACCTTGTTCAACACCTAGAATTAGACCTTTCCTTTTATAAGTATGTCTATTCCTTTTTTGAACTGGGTTAAGCCACCGGCCTCCGCAACATCTTGTGGCAATGAGTTACATAAGTTAATTACATACCTTGCAAAAAAGAACTCCCTCTTGTTAGCCTTAAAACTCCTACCCAATAGTTTCATTTAATTTAAATACTTCTAGTATTTGGAAAGATGGTAAATAAAAATTCCTTATGAACATTCTCTGCAGCATTTAATATTTTGTAAACCTCTATCATGTGTCCTGCCCTCCCCCACCCCCAGTGTCTCATTTCTGAGCTAACAAGTCCTAGCCTATTTAGTCTTTCCTCATATGGAAGCCCCTCCATACCCCTGATCATCTTTGTTGCCCTCCTCTGTACCTTGTCAAATGCCTATATATCCTTTTTGAGGTGTGGGGACCAAAGCTTCACACAGTATTCAAAGTGTGGATGGACCATAGATCTAGAAAGGGAGAGAATGATATTTTTGGACTTGTCTACAATTTCTTTCTTGACCATTCCAAACATTTGATTTGCCTTTTGACTGATGCTTAGCAAATGGTTTTAGTGAACAGCCCACAATGACTCCAAGATCTCTTTCCTGTATGGTAACAGGCAGGGCAGGATGGCACCTTAAAGTCTCTACCTCATTTAGAAAGGCATATATTTTTGTAGGCTACAGCCTACTTCATCAGTTAGTCTTAGAAGAAGCTACCTTGTATTGACTTCTGCCTGACTTTAGACAATCACAGCTAACTACCTCACTCTGGGTGCCTCTACACATGCGATTAAAGCTCCAGAGTTTACTGCTTCTGGGTTCAACATTTGAACGTGCGCCAAGGACTGTAGTATGTTGAGTTGGGTCAGAGCAGCCCTGGCTGGCAGGAGGCCCCAGGGATCACCCTGCCAGCCTGGAGCTGCTCTCCCTGGCTCAATGTGCTGCAGAGGGGCTGGCTGGGACATGAGGCTGCTTCAGTGCAGGGCTTGCTGACAGGCAGCCTCCGTACTGAAGCACCCTCATGCCCCAGCCAGCTGGGGTAGCATCTACAAGTATACTGTTGTGAAGTAAAAAACTCTGCAGCAGGATAGGACTTGTATATATGAGTACTACTGTGCTGCAGAGTTAATTTGTTAACTCCAGCCTAATTGGGTGGAGGAGGAGGAGGGCATATGTAGAGGCCTGACATTTACTGCAGAGCTAATTAGTTTACTTCTTAGTAAATGCCTCATGTAGACGCGCCTTTTGTGTGGTGACTGTTCATCTAGAGCCCATCATTGTATATAAATATTTGAGGTTATTTTTTCCCATGTACATCAGTTAGTTCTGACCAACATTTCAATTTCAACATTGCACGAAATAGGCAGCAGAAGAAAATGTAAAAAATGAGAGTTTTTGCCAAGTGACAGCATGCGGGAGAATGTCCCAGGCAAATAGAAGTGAGTTCCCACATGGGTCTTGGATACATCCCCTGTCTGTTAATAGATTAACAGAAAGAGTCCTTGGAGGTATTGCGGTTGCAATATCAAGGTCATTTTTAACAGAATGAGGTCAGCTACTGCACTCAGATTTTTGGCAACCTCATAATCTTTAAAACAATAATACCTATGCCTATATCCTTCTTTCTATTGCAGCAATGAGACTTACGGTTTTGCAAGAAGTCACCCTAAAAACATGTATCTTGCCTCAGGAGACCAATCCTGTTCTGTCCAGGGAACCCATTGTCTAGGGCACTTTCCTGGGAAATGAGAGATACAGGTGTGGGGCCTCAAACTCCCTTTTACCCTATCTGGGAAAGTGCTGTAGTCAAAATTGGGCAAAATGGTGGTGGGAGCTTGTTTTTCTCCTCCATTTAGGTGTAAGCATGATCTTGGTCATTCAGCATGTTCTTCAATGAAGGAACTGGGGACTTCTTTTTAAGTGTCACTTAGACATCTTAGAGGTGGAATAGGACCTGAGCCTTAGAGTTAAACATTACTGAATCATTCTACACTTAAGACATGTTATAAGCACGTCTTACAATTTTAAGCAATTAATATCTTACACCAAGGATAAAAGCTTACAGAATTATTCCACTGTTGTCTGCATGTTACTATATCAATTTATGTTGTGTACAGATGTCTACAGTGCCGCAGAGAACAGCTGGAAGGGAAACCAAATATGTAAGTCCCCTTATAATTATTCTGTTTTAGCTACAAAAATGTTTTACTTTGTAGGAATAATAATCATCCTTCCATGCCAGTTGGATCTGCATGAGAGAAGGGTGGAAACTGGTGTAGAAAATGAGTTCTTTATTGAAAGTGAGTCAGTCAGGGTATTGGCAATGACACTTGAAACCTCTGACCCTCGCTTCAAATTCATCCTGTTTGGTGGCTCGTCAACACAGGATGATTACTATCTCTGGCCAAATGAAAGCCAAACTCAGTGCCAGTTTAACGTAATTTTAATTGCCTTTTTTCCTTTTAATTTCCTTTTTTTGTTTCATTTTGAGAAGACAGTCTGAGGACAATATTTTGCAATATTTGGCAAGGTTCTTTGGTTAGATGTGATATCTTTTATTGACCAAGTAGTTGGAAAAATGTTCTTAGCAAGCTTTCAGGCACAGTCACTCTTCATCAGGCATAGGGAGTCTGCTGGTCTGAGACTCCAAGGAATGAGAGAAGCTAGTAGTGTGGAGGGATGTCAGTGAAAATTTAAATAGGTAGAGATAAGCAAAACAAAGGGGGAAGGGAGGGAGTAGAGAGCAGGGGAAAGAAAAAGTCAGAGGGAGAGCACAGAGACAAAACACAAGGTGAAAAAGAGACAGTCTGTGATAAAGGGAATAGTTAGAAATCAGGAAAGCAGAAATGGGAGAAGCTAAAAGTGTGACAGGATGTCAGTGAAAATATAAAAGGGTAGAAGTAGGAAAACGAAAGGTAAAGGAGGGGGAAGAAAACAGAGGGCAAAAATAGGCCAAAGGAAAAACAATACAGAGGTAATAATAATACAAGGTAAAAAAGAGGCTAACAATAAAAAGGAAATGGTAGGGAACCAGGAAGAAAAAAGGGCAAGAAGTGGGAGAGGGGAGGAGAGAAAAGGTGGAGGGAAAAAGGAATGTAAGAGGTCAGGCCAGGCAGGTACCTGTGAATCACACGTCAGGCAGGTTGTAATGTGTCATAAATCCAATGTCTGTACTGAGTCCATGATTTTTAGTATCTAGTAAGTAGATGAAGTGAAGTTTGTAGGCTTATCTATGAAAGATGTGTTGTAAATTCCCCATACGGATTAGAACTGAGAGATCGGAGAGGTAGTGATTGTCCTGTGAGAAGCGTGCCCCCACAGGTAGCTAGGTATTCTTGTCTTTCATAGATTTCCGGTGTGGGCTCATTCTGGTGCGCAGCTGTTGTTTAATTTCTCCTACATATTTTCCATGACGGCATTTAGTGCACTGGATGCTAATGGCTCTGTTGTGGGGTGTAGTTATTGTGGGGGTGGTGGAGATATTTTGGCAGGTTTTGCATTTCTTGTCCTGGCATGGTCTGGATCCATTTGGTGTGGTTTGGGTCATAGGGAATTTGCTTTTGGTGATGAGGTTAGCGAGGTTTAAAGGCTAGGATGGGTGGATCTGGAAACATCTAATTGAGAATTGGGTCTTCTTCTAGTATGGGTTGCAATTGTTTGAGGATTTTCCATGTAGGTTCCAGGGAAGGGTGATATGTCATCACTAATGGTGTGTGATTTGTGGGGATTGTCTTTTTGTTCTGCAGCAAATCTTCACGTGGTATCCAGGTGGCTCTTTCAAAAGTGCGATCTGTCACTGGAAAAGTGTCCTTGTTGGCTGAAGGCCCTTTTGAGATTTGTGAGGTGGTGATCACGAGTATTCTCCTTGCTGCAAATTCAGTGGTATGGGAGTGCTTGGCTGTAAATTACAGCTTTCTTGGTGTGTTTAGAGTGATTGCTGGTTCTTTGTAGATATGTATGTCAGTCAGTGGGTTTCTTGTATATGGTGGTTTGAATTTTACCATCTTGGATATTGATCATGGCATCCAAAAAAGGAAATGCTGGTGTTGGAGTATTCAAGCAATAATCTGATGGAGGGGTGACGATTGTTGAATTTTTGGTGGAAGTCCGCCAGAGACTGCAGGGTTTCAGTTCAAATGATAAAGCTATCATCTGTGTATCTCAGGTATAATAAGGGTTTGATGGTGCAGTTCTTAAGGAAGTCTTTTTCTAGATGACCCATAAAAAGATTGGCATGTTGTGGGGCCATTTTGGTGCCCATAGGTGTGCCCATGGTCTGGAGGAAGTATTGGTTGTTGAAACTGAAGTTGTTGTGTGTGAGGATGAAGTATCACTCCACACTTTAAGCATCTCTCATTCCTTGGAGTCTCAGACCAGCAGAGACTCCCTATGCCTGATGAAGGGTGACTGCACCCAAAAGCTTGCTAAGAACTTTTTTCCAACTACTCAGTTGGTCTAATAAAAGATGTCACATCTACCCAAAGAACCTTGCCTGCCTATGTACTTAGACCAACATGGCTACAACCAACAACCCTTGCAACTGTTGGGCATTTATACATGTGCTCCAGGGGGAGGTGGGAGTGCTTTAATTAGAGTGTCTGTGAGAGCCTCTCTAACATAAGCATCCAGAGCATCTCATGTATCAGTGTCCCCATGCTTAAAAATGGTGGCAGGATTGCTTTAACTAAAGCTCATTTGCCAAGCTTTAGTTAAAGTGCCCCCACAACCATTTTTAAGATGAGATGTTGGAGTCTGCAGACTCAATTAATCAAGCCTGCTCTGACATGCTGTAATTACAGCACATTGGAGCAGCCTCGCTGCTCATGTATAGGCAACCAATATGCATTGCTGCCATATCATGACTTTTAGTTATTGCCCATAATTTGGGGCTTACCCAAATTTCCAGTCCCTGCTACACTATTAGAACAGTGGTTCTTAAACTGGGTTCCATGGCACCCTAGAGTACCTTGAAATAATTTTCAAGGGTGTTATGGGGTGTCAAGCAACTCTGACTTTATTAGGTGTGCAAATGTTTATCACAAGTTAAACCCAGAGATTTCAAATGGGAATCCTTAGCGTAAAAACATTCTGTCCTGCTGTGGTCTTTCTGAGTTCTTTTCAACAGGTTATTTGCTCTATTATTTTTCTGTCGTCAAAAAATGAATGCAAATTTAAGAGATGACCTTTTCCACAGAGTGCCTTGAGTCTATTGAGAGGTCTATTGAGTGGCCTATTGAGGGCTGCTTTGAGTCTAAAAAGGTTGAGAGCAACTGGGTTAGGATTATGAAAGTTAGCCCTAAATATGTACAAGCTACCTTGTTGTGTGGATACACAGGCAAGTGTGTCAGCGTGGACACACACACACATGCACACACATACAATAACCACGCTAAGTTAATTAATCTGTTCTAATAAATATGAAAGCCTTAAACTCAGATATTACTATCATTCTCATTAGTATGAACAGTTAATGTTGGTGATTTATTTTACTTACAACCCATTTATTTGTATGAGAGGCCTGCCCATTATTCATTGCTCAGTCATTCTGTTGAATCACAGATCAGGAGCAGTGCAGGTAAAACCAATACTTGCTGCCAATACACTATTTGATCAATAACATTTTGTTTTTGGCATGGGTAGCTAAAGAAGTGTTGTGCATTTTTCTTATGTGCTTTGGGCTGTGATTCTACTCGACAGACTGTGCTGGTTCACCCTAATTAGGAAGGAGACCAGAAGAGATAATTTTTAGTGATATAAAAAACAAGCTCACTGTCTGTATCTTGAAGACAATAACATATATTGCTCACCACTGTAATTCTTATGCTCACTAAACTGTGCCCGACACATTTTTCCAAGTGGAATTTTCAGCATGTGACATTCAGTGACTAATGCTGCCCAATGAGATGTTATTTTTGGAGATTGCTTTTGTGTGACCATTTAACACAGAAAGTTAGTCAGGTTCATTTTCTCTATGACCTTTACAAATGTGTTGAGAATTAAAGTCACACCTCAATTCAGACATGATATTTTAACTAACACCTCTTAGATAGCCCTTCTTAACAGCAGTTTCTTTCTCTATGCTGAGTTTTTCACATTTTCTTGCAATGTATGTTTCTGCTGCTGTAAATCAGCGATCACTTTTAGGGTTTTCCTCAGAAGATAACATAACTTCTGACTCTAGAGAAAGCTGTGGAGGTTAAAAAGGCTTTAAGCCCCTATGGCCCCAATAAAAATCTGTCTCTGTAAGGATCCACTCCCGAATACTATAAAGCTGAAGAAGTCCCAAAGCTCCTTTTTGATTGGGCTCATTATTAATCATTTGTCCTTAAGGCAGCTGTAAGTTAGATTCCATGGCAATGTTCTCCTAGAAACCACTGGGTAGCTGATAATAACCAGCTCACAATCCCTATCAACTCTGTAGCCTGCAACAATGGCTGCAAGACAGGCCAGTGCTGAGCCGTTAACACAGCTTTGGGTTATTCAAGGAACCAGGTTTATTCCCTGGTAGTTTGTTTTGCCTGTTTGGTACAGCATAAAAGGGTCATAATATAATCTAGAATTAGATCTAGGTTAGAAAACCATATCACTGCTTAATACAATGCAAAAACTAGGAGCTTCCGTGATATACCTGCTGGGATTGAATATTGAAAGGGCATTTGTTGTATTAATATCAAACTGTGAGCTCATCCAACATGCTCACTACCTTCTGACTTGTGCCCGATGACCTTTCTGGGAGCGATGATTTTTTAAATTTCTTAGAAGAGATCTGCATTATGTTTCTTTCTTTTGAAGTAGCTTTTAACTTGCTTGTCTGAAATTCATTTTTACTCAGGAAGGATTAGCATGGTATTTTAACAATATACTTATCATTATTTATGTGCATGCTCTTTTGTTGAATGTTTAATACAAAGAAGTCTTGAATATGTCATTGGTTAAGAGAAAAATAGATTATCTTTGTTGGTGAGTGAATCAGACCCAGCAAAAGCTGTTTTCCTGCTAAATCCCTTTGCATATTTTACATAACAACCCCATGCAGACAGCCAGCTCAGCCCCTTCAAGCCAGTCAGGTTGCAGTACATGGATGGGTCGAAGAGTGGAGTTTAGGGGGTGGAGGAGAACAAGGTAGGATATTGGCTCAGGTCCCCATGAGCTGGAGCTTCCTTCCCATGGCAGGAGCAGTAGCTCCCCAAAAAGTGCCTTCCCACACTGCTCCCACCTCCCACTCACCCTGAGAAGCATGACCAGTACCCCCCACACCAATCCCAAATTCCTTTTTATTAAAACATGAGACATTCTTTAATTTACTTCCTTTTTATTTCTTTTTAAATTCTTCTTCTTTTTGTTTACTTTTTATTTTCCTTTAGTGGTTGACTTCCTTCATTTCACCAACCTTCCCCCACCCAACTCTGATTTCATTACCTATCCTCATTCCATTAACTCTATGCCTCCCAGCTACTCATCCTTGCAACCCATTTCTCACCCTCCCCAACCCCGCAAGAGCAGGGATAGAAGCCAGTTTTGGCTCACCAACCCTGTAGTGGCAATTCATAGCTGTGCAGGTGGAAGACAGAGGAGGATTTTAGCCTTAATATGTGACTACTCTAAACCCAAGCTAGCATTAAAACTAATCATTTGGGCAGTTCAAAGTGCAGCATGGAACACTGTTGAATAATGGCTTAACAAGAACTTGGTCATAATTAGAAACGAAATGAATAGAGTCTCAGTTCTTAGCTATCCGCTTTTTATCACTTGACACTCATTTTATATACACTTCCCATTGATGTAAATAATTGCATGATTGAGCAAGGCAGTGGAGAATCAGCACTGAAACAGGTCTGTTCCATTATTAATATGGTATGGAGCTTACCCACATCCCCAGCTTCTGTTTAGTTTTATTGGCTTTGATGGAACAATGGTAGGTAACACCAGCTGATGATTTGGCTCACTATTTTCAGCAATTAGTTTTAGAATCTTATTAATGGCCATAGTGGAATCCCACTTACTTTCATTTTAGACTGGTGTATCTCCATTGACTAGCAGAGTTATTGCTTGTTTACAGAACTGTAAGATCAAATTCACATTCCAAATAATCATTTTCTGTGGCATTTCAGTTTTCAGTTCCCTTTATCATTTTTTTTTCACTAAATGCTGACAATCAAGAAGAAGCTTTGTTTTTTAGATTTTTGAAGTCATAATGCTCAAACAATGTTTGTAGAAAAGACAAAGTAACAATTTCTTTGGAACAGAATTCCAAAATCTTTTGTTATTAACTACTAGCCAGTTGCCCATCAGGAATGATGGGAGAAGTGGGTCAGGGGGGACAGGCAGGGATAGATCACTGTTGCCTCCTCCCAGGAGCAGTGGGGGAGGGGAGGAAGGGGAGCTTGCCCCACCATCCTGTCAGCCAGCACCCCTCACTGCTGCTGCCTCCAGGGAGCTGACCTCACCCCCCCTCAGTCCCCTCCATCCCTGCTGTTGTGGCGACGCTTTGCCGCACCACTGCCTTCTATCTGGAAAGCTCTTGGAGCACTCTGATTGGTTGTTTCAGTAACCAATTAGAGTGTTCCAAGAGTGTTATGGACAGACAGACAGACAGATTAAGCCCTTTATTGTATTAGAATTATTATATTAGAATTTTAGCATATGTTTCTTCAGTTATTTTCAACTAAGCCATTATGATTTCCAGTTATCAATAGGAAGATTATTAACATGCAGATTATTGCAGTGCTTTTGCCTTATCTTTTACCTAAGTGCTAAAAAGAAGCTATAGGCAAAATATGATTATAGATAAAAGTGTTTACGATAAAAGAAATAGGCAGAAATGTGCAGGCTTTGCTTCCTAAAGACAATGTAAGGCAGATAAAAAAGACTCAAGATTTCATGTCAATGTCTGAAAATAAATTAGTTTCTTTAACATTTGTTAGTCCAATGTAAATGTGGAGCAACTTCACTGAAACCAGATTTACTCTGAAATTACACTAGTGTAATTGACAGCAAAATTTGGCTCCAGTAGTTTATATTTACAGATTTCCCATTACTTAGCCCCTGGGCTCTTTCAATTTCTTAAAGTTTACAATGAGATCTGGTGGCAGATTAGGGTGAGCACATGAAAGAAATTCAATAACATGTGAACATACTCTCGAGCCACCAATGCAAATGTAGTTTGTCCAGTGAACATTTTCAGTCCTATTACTGTACACTGAGCTGCCTGGCACACATTACACTGAAGATGTGATTAACCAGTTAGTTACACTCAGATACAAGTTAATGCAATTAATAGCATGATAAAACAAGGAATAAGCCACAAAGTTTTTACACAAAAAATGTGTAATAGTTTTGTGGCTGGTTCCTATCATGCCATTAATTGAACATGTGGCTAGCCTTGGGCTTCCAGCTGTGGGGGCACACCATGCACCACTGCAGCTAGGAGCCCTTTGTTGTTGGGGCTCCCAGCCAAGAGGAGTTTATGATACATCCCAGCAGCTGGGAGCTCCCTTAGTCAATGGGGCTCCCAGCTGTGAGAACATGGTATATCCCTGTGGCTGGAAGACCCATCAGCTGACAGGACTTCTACCTGTAGGAGCTTCCTACTTGCTGGTTCAGGGAGACCCCGGGATCATGATGCACTACTGATAAGTCATGATGGGTTGCAATGCTCAATTCCACAATCATGCCTCCTGCCATGTTTGTGTGGCATGGCTGGAAGAGTTTGTGGGAATCACACATTAGATCCCATGCTGCCTTTCCTTGCATTCTTGCCAGGGGATTTAGTGATAAATTGTGGCTATCTCTGTGCAAGTGGGGAAAGGAACTGGGAACTTTCCTCCTCAATAGGTTGCATTCAGGGGCTAAACACATTATAGAGTGCCCAGAGTCTGCACATGACTAATGGCAATATTACTCATATTCATATGATTCAGAAAGGCCAAAGAGCAAGGAACTGCCCAGTTTCTGAGTCATTCTCAGTAGCCACCAGCCACCAGAGTTTTTTAGTGAGGAAGGGGAAATCATATTTTTCCCCTCTCCCAGGATTATGGAACTGCTTTGCCACATGAGTTATAACTAGACATATAATTATTTTTCTTTTATATGTCTACTCAGTTGATGGAAACCATTGCATCTGCCATAAAGACTTCTACAGGCAAATGGGATGTCATTTATCTACTTTCTTTCAATAGAAATCAGCAACAGAAAAATAACTGCAAGTGAAATGACAGATATACATATTTTTCTCTTCCCATCATCCAGGAACCACTGATAATCTGTGAAAACAGTTTTTGTTTTGGATTCCCTCTTTTGTAAATCAGTTTTCTCTTCTATCTCAGATTGTGTGGCTTGTATAAGGCTTTATGTTGCTTTATGTAATATGGTATATATTTACTTTTTGCAGGCTAATCTTTTCTTATCAGCACCTGGAATGACAGAGAGTCAACTGGTATGTATCGTTATGTCTGAGTTATGCTGTTTTTCAAAATACTGATAAACACAAAATCTGAAGTAAATTACTGTTTCATTCCTTGATCCTTTGAAGGATTCTGCAGTTCATACTCTAGCATGTAAGTACTAAGCAGTATATTACCATACTCCATACCGAACATGGATTTGTTACAAATGCCTGACAAACATCTACAAATGGGGTGTAAACACAGGACAGACTTCAAGATTTGACACAGAATGAGAGGTCTTGGTAATTTGGAGGCTGATTACCTCCTGGTGGGCATTTTTAAATCATTCAAACTTTCATTTTTGATTGAAAATTTATTCTCAGTTTTCTGGATTCCTCTTCTCTTCACATGTTTAATTCAAAAGTAGTTTAACCAGTGAAAAGTGAGAGGAGAATAAGATCCAAACTGGTACTTGAAGGCAAAACCAAAGTGTTTGTATATTTTGTCCCTACGACAAATAAGGGAATCTTATTATCCATAGTATACAGGTAGGGAAAGGAAGGGAGCTACAGCAAGACAAGGACCAGATTTTCAGTATGGCTCTGAGCTCATTAAAGTACCTGGGGGCTGATTGACAAAATGTTCAGCAAAATGTTTGCATTGTGCCACTTCTTACTAGACTTGACAATCTAGCTAAAAGTAAGTATCCCATGATGACCCAGTCCAGGGCCATAGCTATAAAGCCGAAGTTGCACGTCATCATCATCACCAGCAATAGCAACATTCTTCCTGCAACATGAAGTATATATGACTGAAGTCAAATGGCATTGGTCATTCCTATCACATGCTTATTTTTCTAAGTCTTTTGTGTTCATATATCATAATCCCTCTTTCACCATTATTGTCCATATTTATTCAAGGGTAGGGTTTGGCAGATGGATATGTATGATCACAAGCAATAGAAGAACAGTTGGTGTTTATATCCATTAGTGTTTATATTCATCCAAAGCATAGCTTCCAACATTTCCTCATCTCTAATTAGTTTTAAGCATTAATAACTCAGAGAACTCAAATCCTTTCAGGTTAGTGATATTAATTCTAGATGTGGGTGGAGGGCATTATAAATCAGAAGACTAAAATATGTCAAACATGTTTTTAAGGAGTAAGAGAAAAGTAGATAATATTCTGCATCATACACTTGTGTGGAAGCCTCAGTAAATATAAAGCAGTCAATCAGTCCCGAGTTATACTGTATACGATTTAACACCTTGAAGTGATTTTCCTATAATTCATTCATTATAAGTCTATGTATTAGACTACTACTAACATTTTTAGTTTCAAAGTTGCTGAACACCAAATTCTGTGAACTAAATCAAATGTTGAATGAGCAGACTGGCAATTAAACCTCAAGAGTTATGTCAAAATAATTCCCTTTGATATAAAGCAAGCTGTAACCTCTTAATGTACCAAATTCTAGCCAGAGCTGGTTGTAGTGTAGAACACATCATAGTTCCAAGTGACACCTAAGGTTTGCTGGACATAGGTTCCTCTTCTTGGCCCTGCTCAGCACATGTACTCTGCCCAGCTTGATTGCTTGACATTTAGATGCAGATAAATGACTTTTGGGTAGGCCTAGTTTACAGTAGTATCATATTACCTTATCCATCACTGAATTCTCACCATATCTAGGAAGAAATGTGGATTACTCATAAGAACATTCCACACAGAAACTCTACACAATAATTTGAGAGAGAAAACAAAATAAATAATAAATTCTTAAGCTTGTGACTCGCAATCAGGGTGATGAGGCACCTTTGGGTGCCTTGAGATCATTTAAGGAGTGCTGCAGGATGTTACCCAGTTGTAACACTGGGTAATACAAACATGTTTCACAAGATAAACCCAGAGTTTTCATATGGGAATCTATAGTGTTAAAAACCTTCTGATCTGTTGTGGTTTTTCTGAGGTCTTTCCAACAAAGGATTGGTCTATTATTTTTCTGTAGTTAAAAAATAAAAGAGTGAAAATGTAGAGGTGTCATTTTCTGAGGGGTTTGTCCAGTCTATCCAAAGATGCCTCAAGTCTAAAAATATTGAGAACCATTGCCTTAGACTGTTGAAACTGCAGGGGGAAAGGTAAGTGGACAAAATTTAGAAACTTTTGCTGGAGTCATGCAATTTTTTTTAGTAAATGTTCGGCTGACTTGGAGGCCTACTGCTGTTCCTTTACTAAGGAGTATATCCTCCAAGAGTCATCTATGCATTGTGGGTGGAAGCTCAGGTGTTACAGTTGATCTTGATCAGATCTTCCTGTTTCCTAAAGGGCAGCATTAGTTGAAAAAGTTATGATTTATATATAAAAGTAGTTGAAAAAATTACAAGGTTCATGCAATTCAAATGTTTAAGTGTGACCAAAGGTACCAACAGACTGCACTACAAAGTGGTGACTCTTTGAGCACTGTTGTGTTGTTCCATCAGCACAACAGCAGATAAAATAATTGTTCTTCCCTTAGGTCTTTACAGATATATGTGAATAATTTACTATGTAGCCAAAATAATATAAATTATTTTTACTCTTGGTATTTGCCTTCATGTCTTCAAGTGCAGTAAGTGAGAAAATTATTATACTTGGATTCATACCATGGAATGTTTTATTGCATTTATACATTTAAGATCTTTATAATGACACATTAAAATGTATAAGTGGCTTCAATGGCACACCTATTACCCCATGAAAAATAGCTCAAGGCAGAAGAAGAATAGTAGGGAAAAGTTGACTAGGCAAAGCATCTGGGATTATGCTGTAAGGAATATGTAGGGAAGAGGAGCCAGAACAGAGGCTAGGATCTGGGCTCTAAATCCTAACACTCTGAAGGAGGTTCTAAATAGAATAACTGAACACAGATGGTATCTGTGAAAAAGACAGCACACCTCAGTGATTGCTGTTTATCAAGTAAATTGCAATGGAAAGAAAAACAATCTGTATCTTCTGGTGATATCTCAAGTAAAATAAATAACAGCATGAGAAGAGGAAGAGAGTTTTGCAATGGTGTTAATTCTCTTTTGTTGTTAGATTTTGAAATGTGGGTTGGAGAGACAAATGGACCCAAAGCAACAATAAAAAGACATTCCTGTCACACATCAATAAATTACGTTGGGTGCATCTACACTGTTGCCGCCGAGAGCCGCGGCGCAGGGTTCGGGGCTTTAGGAGCCCTAATCGGCAGGCGGGTACTTGTGATGCTTGGAGTGGAATCAGGTACTCAAGCGTTTGGATTGAACAAAAGATTGTTTACTTACACTGCTCGTACAGTGCAGGTCAGAAACTTGCTTCGATTACAGTTGTAAAACTTGGGTCGGGCAGAAATTACAAAGTTGGTTTGGTCGGTCTGCAAATGTGTCGGGGTGTTTGGGGTATTCGGGCCGGCAGTCGTCTTATGTCTCGGGTGGGGGTGTGCTAGGCCTCCTTGGGTCGGTGACGGGGAGTCCTTAGTGGTTGATCAGGCCGCTAAGTTCGCTCTGAAATGCGTGTGGAGTTTGCTAGGCTCCACAATGTACTCAGAGTTCTCCACGAGGTGTGTGTGGAGCTCTCCCACTTGGGCGGAAACTGCTCAAGCTTTTTATACGGCTAGCAAGCCAATCGTTAGCCACCACGTGTGCATAATTTCACGCAAGCCAATAATGGGGCTCGAATTAGAATACAAATGGCGGGAACTCTTTGCAC